TATATTCTGAGTAATTTATATTCTCAATTACAATATAAAGATTTAAGAGAAAAAAAGTTGAATTATTACTGTTCTTTAGCTGCTAGTATGAACATTTAATATGCAAAACTAAATAAAAAATGTTGGCATTGGAATGCACTCTAAGGACAGAAATCCTGATTTATGAAAACTGATGATATTACAAGTCACTTTTTGGACATCATTCTAAAAAGCAGAACATTCACAAATATAGTTAAGTTAGTAATCATCAAAATTAAAAATCATGAACTGGCCATGATGCTCACATCAAATTTACTAAATAAAGAAGATCCAAACTATTTTATAAACCAATAGGATCACAATGGCTGATATACAATGATCCTATTGCCAAACATAACAAAAGCCATCAGAACAAGAGAAAAGAAAGTCAAACAAACAAGTCCAAGAGAGCCAGTTTGATCTAGTAGTTAAGCACCAGACTAGACATGAGGAGACTGTAAGTTCAAGTTCTACTTTAGGAATGTAAGCCAGCTACGTGATTTTGAGCCATGCTCTCTCAGCCCAGCCCAGAGTGGTGGTTGTTGTGGGAAAAGAGGAGAAAGAAGTTTTAGGTAAATTCACTGCCTTGTTTATAAAAATAATAAAAATAGAAATAAATAGAAATGTAGGAAATATGAACAAGGAAATGAGAGTTTTTCCATCAGGGGATTCTGAAATTTTCTTTCCTACTCCAATATTTGCTACATGATTATCTCATATTTGCAACATTTGAATATCAGGTTGGAAAGAGAGATGGAAGTCTGAATGTTTAAGTGAAAGAAAAATACAGATTTTCTAACATATTTTATACCATTTTTATAGCTCATCTCTAGTACTGAAAAAAAGTTTCTGTTTTGGTAGAAGTTTTTTGTAAGAGTAATTGCAGAGTTGACAACTGCATCTATTTCTAAAATTAATGTGCATCTATTTCTAAAATGTGATTCAAATTAAAAGATGGAGATCTCACCTGCTGGCCACTCCCACGCCCAGTTTAGTGAAGGGGAAAAAGTCACAATACGTCATGTGACGATGCTGTGACAATGTGAGTTTAACCCCCCTGACCTAGGGCAACTAGATCTAGTTTTAGCACCAGGTTCCAGATATATCAATAGTGGAAAATATATTTTTGTACTCCTAGTTGTTCAGCACAACTTAGAGATGCACAGAATATTATTTCAACATTTTAAAGGGAATTTATTTCAGACAGCAATTCCAAGCTAAAAGTTACTACAACTATAAAGTGTACACAATTTAAAGTAAATCTTCCAATACCTGAACAGACATTGCTGTGGTATTACTCTTACTTCACTTAAATAGGACTTCTCAGTATTTACTGACTGACATTTTATAGCTTACAAAGCAATCTGCCTTTCTTTTCTGGTCCTCTTCATCTACCAATGCAATATCAAACAGCTGACTACCCTGTTTCTAAAAATGGACTGTCTTGCAAACAGTATAGTGACAATTTAATAATTTGTCAAAGTGATCTAAACAGTTATTATGAAGCACATATTATGGGGTTCAGAAATAAAGGGCACTTACTTACAAAGCATGTATTTGCTGACACTAAAAATCCAGGCAATTAAAAAAAAACCAATATAGTACTTTGCAAGATTATCAGGAAAAATATAAATCCTACAGCTATTCCTGAAATACCAACAACTATTCAAAATATTCCTGCTTCACCTATATTCTGGACTTAATGATCTAATGTAGAAGTGATTCTTTAATTTCACATAGCAGAAATTATTACCCTTTGCTTTTTGTCTAAGATCAATTAACATGTCTTTGTGTGTACATATAAAAAAGACTATATATAATGTGAATTCTTCATACATTTTTCAAATCCACCCTGCAGTTCTACTAGCTCATGAGACATATCATCATGTAGGTCCAGGTATAGTAGAGTGATGTACCATTTCCATGTTATTGGCAAGAAAATTGGCCCGACATGTCAAAAAGATTCTTAGGAGACAAGCTCAACTGAAAGAAACTTTATATTTGCATTAGATTATTTGTCATTCCATTTTTCCCCAGGAAGTGTCAGAGACCTCCCCCTCTGGCAATAATTATTAACAAATTATACTAAAGTTTACTGTAAAACAACTTTCAGAAAATAAGAATCTTAAAACAGTAAGGGGATGAGCAGCATCAACAAACTGGAAAAATGCACTTCTTCAATTAATATACTATCTATTTCTTAGTCATCAATAAAGATGATCATATTCATCAAAAACTGAGTGGAAAGCTATCCAACATTCAACAAAATGTAGACCTATGTTCTTCAATATTTATATTATGCTCTAATTTGTAAACATATTAAGGTAAGATATATTTTATCCAAAAGTTTAAGGTACTTAAAAATCAGCAATCAACAGATTATTTCAAAACTGGTGTGTTGTCAGTTCTTTTTTCCATTTTCAAAATTTTAGCTATTTAATTTTTTTAAACATACTTAAAATAGCTATGTACAAAATTCATTTAAGCTAGAAAGTTAAAAATGTGGCATCTCTTTAAGAGGTAACTGAAGACCTTCCATTTCAGCTTCTCCACCCTCATTTAGCAAGTCTTTTATCCTATTATGTTTTAAGATTAGACCATCTTTTAAGGGTAGAAGGTTATGGCTTACAGTAGCACTATTTATTTTTTCTTTATGCCACAAGATTCCAACAGGGCTAGGAATGCCCTGTTATTTACAATGTATTATTATTGTAAGATTACCATCTTCTGCCAAGTGTTCCATTCAATGTTTCCTATACTTAATTATAGTATGAGAAGAGCAGGAATGGTTCAGTTAGTCAGACCTTTAGCCATTGGTCAAAAGAAGAGCATATTTCTTTTGTATGATACCAAGTTCTCTTGATAACATAAAAGAACACCGTAGTAGAATTCCTATTTGAAATTCCTACTTGATAGCTGTGGTCAATGTGATCTTTGCACAACTTTGACCTGTACTTCATAGACTGGGGGACTCTGTTCATAGTCACTCACACCTAACTTATCTCTTCACTGTACTACTGCAGTATACTGTATATGCCCTTGAAGACCATTCAAAAGGTTCAGTGCAATGGTGCAGATTGTTATGAATATTTCTTGTTATGGTCTTATAAACACCTGTGCTTCACAAGCTGCACAGATCCCAATAAGCTTCTAAGTGTAGTTCAAGGTATTGGTAATTACCTGTAATGCCCTAAATGGCATACGAGTAGCTTAAATGCAAGAGTGATTACTCTCAAGGGTATCTACCCACCCCAAACACTCTGATAGGGAAGGCACATTCTGGGCCCCTTCACTGAAGCATGTCATCTTCTGGGACCCAGAAGGCAGATGATCCCTGTCTTCTGAAACAATTTTCCTGTTGACATATGATAGGCTCCAACCTAAAAGGCCTTTAGGAAGATAATTAATACCTGGTTCTTTCTTGAGGCCTTGAGATTAGGATGAGAACCCAAATGATAAATGTTTCGGTTCTGATTGCACATTTATTGTGTTTTATATTATTTTGTATTTATTACAGTTTTTCTTTTTTTTCTTGTTGTTTGGTATACCACCTAAAGAGCATGTGGTCTCAATTGAAGAGGTGTATAAATGCTTTATAGCAATGATTTGGTGCAATCTCTGGGTTTTTTTTCAAAGGCATCCTTGTGTAAGCTGCATTGCAAAAATCTATTTTGGTGGTGATCAGTATAAAGATTAATGATACCAGATCTGTCCTAGATAGAAAGATGGACATTATTAAATCATGAATAGCTGAAATAAGATATCAATCACTTATGCTCATTTGAGCATTCATAGACCGAATAAAATATAGAAGGACCTCAAGCTGTCAATCTGCTTGTTTAGGATAAGGGTTTTTCCCCAGAATAGGAAAACGACCCTTCAAAAGACAGAATCATCAGGAAAATATTGATTTAGTTTTAGTTTGCTATGCCTTATTTAAGCAATAATCCAGTTCAAAGAGTAACGTTGTATCCATACAAATTTCCTAGCTAAAATACCTTATTCTTTATTAATAGATTTATGCAATTTTTATGCAATCTTTATGCAATTACCATAATGAATAAATCAGAATAATTTTGTTAGAAAAGCCACTTCTATATCCATCACTAGTTAATTTGATTTTGTAATTTAATAATGCCTAATAATTTGTAAATTATAATTTATCTTTTAAATTATCCCAATTATAATATTTGCCTCTTTCATATATACATCTCAATGTTTGGGTAAAATGAAAGGAAGAGGGGGAGAACTACAAAACAATGACCAGAGAATTGGGAGTGCAAAATACAAATGAGAAATATACGTAAGAAAATAAATAACATAATCTATACTGGAAAAAAGCCTTGATGTGAATCAATCAGAATCATAGCCTAGCAAAGTCATACATGCAAGCAACACTAAATATAGTTCAGAATGCAAATTTGTTTGTATGTTCTATCCAACATCATTTTTTTATATTCAAGAATCTACCACCAGTTGACAGCTGCATGCACATTTGGACATTTACTAAGGATTGCACGGTCACACAGCAAGACCTTTTCGATTCCACACAGCAAATAGTTTCACTAAGCTGCAAACCATTTGTCTTCAGGTCAAAGCAAAACACAAATGATATATATCTCCAGGGTGCAATCTTTAGTACCGAGCCTGAGGCCTGTTTGCTTTAATCTGTATTCAAAGTCCTCCATGCACAGCTTTGAGCAGCCACTTCTGTTGTAGGACTCATAGATACCTGCATCCTTTTGCCTGCACAGAGCTATCTCCTTCACTATAATACTGAACAAATCCAAACAAAAAAGATCAGTGTACATACTTATACACAAGATATATACATAAAAATAAATACATCTTGTGCACTGTATATTATACAGTGATGTATATTTCAGAGGTTTAAACATACTCCTAATAAATATGACTTGAGTATATGCTTGTTATAGCTTACCTACTCAAATTTTACAAGTTTATAAAATGAGAAAACTTACTTTGTTTCCTCCTGTTACAAACTGCTTACAATGCGATCTCACAAACTGAGGGTGAACAGCAACAATCTGAATACAATGGAGAAAAAAATAAATACACTTGTATTGCGATGCTAGGATTACAGTAGTCCCTAGTTAATGATTTTCTGAACAAGTAGTACTTATGATCAGTCCTCAAAATTCCACTTGTTACAGCATCCCAGAAGTGAAGTGATCATGATCTGAGCACTTGGTGTGTAATTATCCTGTTTCTTAGAAAATAAGGCAGGGCCTTATTTTCTAGTGACTCACGAACAAACAGCTAGGCTGTCTTTTCAAGGGGTGTCCTATTTTTCCCCTCACATGACTCACTTGATGCCCACTTCTTTCATGGCCAAACCATCGGCCAGGCACTGAAGCTCCGCCACTGCCACTGGGGGAGTGGGGGGAGAGAGAGAGGGAGGGAGTGGGGAGGAAGAGAGAGAGAGATTCAATCTAACCTCAGAGGGCTGGCGGTGATGTTTTCTCTCTTTCTCTCTCTCCCTCTCCCCCTCCCCTTCCCTCTCTCCCTCCCTCTCTCTCTCTCTCTCTCTCTCACACACACACACACACACAGGTCCCTCACACAAACACACACACACTCCAGGGCAGCCACATTCCTTCACTAACCTGTTTTCCAGCTCCGTTCTTGGCGGGGGAGAGAGAGAGAGATGGTATCCTGCGATCCCAAATAAAGAACGATCGATCGGTAGGAAAACAGAGTGGGGGATTATCCTGTAGATTTTTTTGGAATTTCCCAGGGACTCTGCTGCTTCTGCTTTTGGCTTCATGCAAGGAAAGCAGCAGAAGCAGCAGAAATCTTTCTTTCTCTCCCCCAAACTCCACCAGAAATGAGTCTCTGTGAGACTTGTCATGCCACCACAGCCTCTTGGAGCAGGATGCATTGCAGGGTCTGCTAATTTCTGGCAGAATTTGGGAGAAAGAAAGAAAGACTTCTTCTGCTTTTCTTGCATGCAGCCAAAAGAAGAAGAAGAAACAGAAAGAAGCAGCCCATTGGCCAGGCAAGGCCGCAAAAGAAGTGGCCTGGTGGTGAGGCATGTGGGGCAGGTGAGGCAAGTTACCCCCTCTGCCTTTCCCCCCTCCCCTCACTACCTTGTATTGTCCATAATGCAAGCAATGTGAGAAACTAGCTGCGCATGCACATAAATAGGGCCAAATTTTGGGGACAGGGCTTAATTTTACCCCATGCATACAAAACAGTGCTTGGCCTTCTTTTTTGGGTGGGTCGTGTTTTATGAGAAACATGGTACAATGTCACAGCAATCTGCAGTAATACAATTGTCATTTATATTCTTCACTACTACTATTTGATAGCAAAATCAATGAGGAAGCCAGCAAGAGGTCCTAAATGGCAAACATGTGATATTGCACTTAACGATGTCACAGGATTTGCTTAATGATGACAAATGAAATTGCCAAAAAGATGCTGCCAAGCAACGCAACCTTATGACATTGTGCTTTACAATAGCACTGCTTAGCAACTGACAGCTGTCCTTAATTGACTACTTATATCTGTTATTCCTTCAAAAAGAAAAAGCAAACATTAATTCATACAGAATTATATAGAGTAATATTAATTAAAATCTATTTTCTGAACTTAAAATCAATACTACTTTCTTTTGACTCTATCAATTATCTTTGTCCTAGTTAGTATCTTCCAGCTTTTGGGAGTATCATTCTGGCTAACTGTACTAAGGCCGAGAAATATTGTAACCAACTGAACTATTAGTTCCACAACTGAATTCCATTCTATTGTGGCCTAAGACCCTACACAACCTGGCTCCTAATATAACATATTTCTGGGCTGATGATAAATAAATCACAAAAGATCATTAGGTAACTTTAATTTAACAAGCCACGTTGTCAGTTATTCCTATCTTGTCGGAATAAGTGCAATTATTTTTGAACATAACAGTACTATATTGTTGAAAATGAAGTAAAATATTTAAATAAGTCAAAGAATAAATTAATAACATAATGAATAAATTAACATAAACACATTCCATACTTTAATCGGGCAATCAAATGTTTCATGGAATTCTTCTCCTGTGTACAATCCAAATACCTGCACCTGAGATAAATAATATGTTTTTAGTATTGTATTAATTTATTTATTGTATTAAGTTATGGATCAAATATTTGAAGGTATGACAATTAATGTATGGAAATTCTCTCTCTTAAATGATTAATACTAAGTGAAAATTAGCTTGATTACACTGCAGCTCATACAATGTATAGTTTTTGCAATGGTCTATGGCTACACATGTAATATACCTACATCTGAAACTTAATACTGTTAAAATATGCTTAGCTAGGTACAGTGAGGTTGTTGTTTAATTTGGTACAGACCTGCCAAAGAATTCAATAATAAACAAGCCTGGACCACTTCAGTCAGTCAGACCTTGAGGAGTGGTATCAAATGTACGCAATATACAAGCAATGTTATTTCAAGGAAAGGCATCTGAATAGATTATAGCAGAGTTTTATCACCCTGAATTACTATTAGTCAAGGCTGCTGCACACTTAAAAATAAACAAATAAAGACATTCTAATAAGTGAAGATATCAATCCTCAAAATCACTAAAATGTCACAGCTCTCTGTTCCCGAAAAACATGGGTAATTGTTGGCTGTGCACAAAAATGATGTATGTTCCCAGTCGAGACAGAGGGTGCCACATTTTTTAAAAGAAACAGGGTGTGTGTATGTGTTATTGATTTCACATTTCTTTAATGCTGTAATAGTTCTCTGACTATAAAGCCTGATAGATGATGACTGCTTATCAAAATATTCCAGAAGTAGCAAACATAAAAGTTTTTAAATATATATGGATGAAAAAGTACCAGTCCATAGAAATTTTGCACACAGGAATCCAATTTTCTGGATTTATACCAAAGAAGCATTAAGATATATTCTTGCAGGAACATCAGACTAGTCAGTGAACTATAACTGGCACCACAGCAATAATTGCAGTGACATGTGCCTCTGCCATAGCTGTTAATCAGCTTAATACCAGTAACAGTATTGACATTTTTTGTAATTACTTTTCCAAAAGTAGATTTGAACCGAATATATTTGACTTTAATGATGAGTTTTCTGAAGTGTGTTTTGTAGTAAGGCAGATGCGCCAAGGTAATGTTATTATAGTATTTCACTGTACACAGATCTTCCAGTGGTCTGGAAAAATAACAATTAAGGACCTTTAGAGACAAAGAGAAAAAAGAAAACTTGCTCTTGATATACCTTTCCATCTTCAGAACAGACACCCATGTGCTCACCACTTTCATCAAGACTAATCTGATTGATCTTGACTGGACTCTGTTGAATGTTAACAATCAGAAAAGAAAAATAAATTAAGAAAGAAGTATTACTTAGAATAAGCAAATTGCTTCAGCTTCCTATTCAAGATAAAAACTTACCTGCTATGGTCCTCAACTCATCAAGTTCAGTGCTGTCCATTAATTATATATAATAATTTACTAGAATTTGTAGAAAAGATAGTGCATATAGATGTGTGTTTGTGCGAGTGTGTGTATATATACACATATACATACATACACACACACACACACAAATGTATGTATGTATGTATGTATGTATGTATGTATGTATGTATGTATGTATGTATGTATATACATATACACACACACCGAGAGAGATTCCACTTACCTTTCGCTAGCCTATGCTAACATCATCAAAGTGTAAAATCTACAATTGAAGAGATATTCGCCTTTATGCATCATTGACAATTTGACTGATGCCAAACCAGTTGATTTTGCTGTGGCCCTCGAATCAATAATTTTCCGACTCGAGGTTATCGAAGAGGTGAAAAATTCCATCAGACAATGGCTGATAGGGCTCCTTACCAGCCATAAGCAGAGTGCCATTCTATCAATACCTGAAATGTTGGCCCTCCAGAAATTGAGAAGGGATAATCCCATCGTTGTACTGCCAACAGATAAGGGCAGGGCGACAGTAGTCATGGATAGAACAGATTATAATAGGAAGGTCTATGACCTCCTCAATGACAGGAGCACTTATCAACTTCTGGATAAGGATTCCATGACATTGCTTAAGAACCAAATTAATAACATAGCCGATAAACTTAAGAGGCAGGGGAAAGTTGATGAGGAGGATCTAAAAATGATTCAACCAAGGGACTCAGCCATAGCATGGATCTATGGGTTACCAAAGATCCACAAGGCAGAGGTACCCCTGTGCCCCATTGTCTCCCTTCATGGCACTCCCATGTCTGGTTTAATCAAGTGGTTATATGGACAACTGCAACAACTGATCGAAGGCACCACTACCATCGTGGGATCCTCTACCAACTTTCTGCAACAGTTGGAGGGAGTGGAAGTTGGGGAGAATGAGACAATAGTGTCATTTGATGTCATATCATTGTTCAGATCCATCCCCCAGGAGTTAGAGGCCCTAACTATAAAGGAGCTACTATTGGAGAAGGAGTTGTGAAATCTCAAATCCCTTAGCCAATTTCCTGCTCTTGTTGAATTTCTGCCTTAGGACCTACTTTACATTTGACGGCCATAGGTATGAACAGATAAAGAGTACATCTATGGGATCCCCGATCTCGGGAATGATTGCAGAGGTGGTCCTCCAGAAATTGGAATATGAGGCAATGAAAATATACATATCCAGGTTTTGGGCATGTTATGTCAATGACACATTTGCCATTATTAAACAGCAAGATAAGACCAGATTTATGAGAATCCTTAATTCCATATACCCAGATATTGAATTTATGATGGAGAAGGAGACCAATAACATGCTGGCCTTCCTGATGTGCTAGTCATCCATAACCCAGATGGGAGCCTTGTATCCAAAAATCATGAGCACAGACCGTATTTTACACAATGAGAGCAACCATCCCACTGCACATAAAGTCAGCTGTATTCGGGTACTGTTCAATAGGGTAGACACCCATTGCAGCACACTAATGGCCAAAGCAAAGGAGCAGGCACATCTCTATCAGGTCTGTAAGCTCAATGGTTATTTTTTGGACTTCATCCGAAAGTGTGTTATACCTAATGCCCAACAGCCTATTGAAGATACAAGTGGAACATTGGTGTGGAGGGTGCTCCCATATATATGGGGGCATCTGAAACTGCTGCACACATCCTTTTGGTGCATGGGGTCAAGGTGGCGATTTGTGCACCAAACCCTGGGAATGAAAATGTCCGGATCAAACCCTGAGAATGAAAGTGATGTGCCAAAAAGAAACATTACCCAAAGAGGAGGCATCCTTGGTGGTTTACCTTATTAACTGCAGTAACTGTGTAAGCAACTACATAGGGAAAATGGCTAAGCGGTTACAGACTAGAGTGCATGAACATGAATTAGCTGTCTGGCACAAAGAACAGCACTCCCAGATCTGGACACACATGAAGGAGCACAATCATGTTTAATTTTCAAGAGGCTGAAGTTGTTGCCCATGATGCAATTAAAGGGGGACATGTACTGAAAGAAGCCTGGTTTTCCAACAATAATTCCATCAATAGGCACATTGAACTGCTACTGGCTTACCAAGCATTGAGGCACCAGGAAAGATCCTGCAGGATGAGCAGAAGTGGTCTCTGCTCATCATTGGGCAGGGACCGACAGAACTCCCCCTCTTGGGTATGTAGATTCATCCTATGGAGGCATAGCCAGTCTGGGCCAAATGCAGAGGAGCCCAGCAGAGCTGCCATGGACAATGAGGAATGAGACATGGACAATGAGGAATGAGCCGGGCTGATTACAAGATTATGGGCACAAAAACAAATGAATCTGGTTGATATATCAAATATGCCTGTGAAGTGGAGGTCTGTTGGTGTGATGGAGGGGGCTGGATAGAATGCTGTCAACAATAGGAGTTGAGCCTCCATTGATTAACATGTCTGAAGTAAAAACGATAGAGCTAATCACAGGTGGGAGGCGGGTGGATGGGCTTATTACACACGCAATGGCTAAATTGATCAATGATACATAAAGGCGAATATCTCTTCAATGGTAGTTTTAACATTCTGACAATGTTAGTAGAGGCTAACAAAAACTAAGTGGATAATATAGTTTAAATTTAAATATAGTTTAAATACATATTAGAGGAATAACTAGCAACTGTAACCCAACTTGCCCATTATTACACATAATTCTTATGACTGGTCAGTTAGGTTAGACCCTAAAAAAACTACTTGACCCAACACCAAACACATGACTGCATTTTGGGTGCTTGGCAACTGATCTGTATTGATAGCCATTTAGTGAAATAGCTTATAAAATGCACACCAGAACAAAATGTGTATTCTTTTTAAGATGACTATATCAAATGTGAGAGGTCTGTTAAATTATTCATATGAGTCTTAACTATTTCTCTCATAAATGACTGGAGATTTTTTTTCATGCCAGTGCATTTCTATGAAATTTGGGAATCCAATATTTCATTGAAATCTCCTCTTATTACTATTTTATTTTATCTACTCATTCATATGTTGAAAACATTCCTAAAATGTAATACGAGAATATAAATTAGATTCATAAATATTAACTATAACTATTACAGTTCCTGATATTTTAACACATAAAATTAAATAAAAACCCATTTACATTTACGATAACTTGTTGCAATCAATTGGGAATCCTTTTCAAGATAAAATCTTTTTTTAATTTTTAAAACAAAAATAACAAATAAAACCATCTTCCGATTGTTGGGTACATATATCTTGTGCATATAATATTATCATACATTTCTTATTTAATTATATTTATAACCATTCTAGTCAACATTTTATATCATATTGTTTATTATATTACTTTTCAAGATAAAATCTTGACACTTTTAATTTTTGTGAATGTATTTGTAAGGTAAACCTGTCTCACCTAATCCTTCATTAATGAAGATTGTCCTGTTCCACAAAGTAGAGTTCCCAATAGATAAGCAATTTCTGACGTTAATGGTTTTAAATATGCTAAGATTATGTTTCGTTTCTTAGATATTTTTTTCAGTCTTTTTACATTAAGACCAATTAACCATCAAATAAAAAAACAACATAGAGAGAATCACATTTATCAAACATTCCTGTTTGGGAAATAGCAGACCAGACTATCATAATAGCAATAGCACTTAGACTTATATAAGGCTTTACAGCCCTCTCTAAGTGGTTTATAGAATCAGCTATTGCCTCCATCAATCTGGATCCTCATTTTACCCACAATAATAAACAATTCCTATGGAACTATTAGCGATTAAAAACAGCCCCTGGAACTGTTTTAACTTGCTTCTGCAAAGTCAAAAGTATTGGAATTTAATTTCATGAAGAAGGCTGTTTTTCAACACAATGGCCATGACAGAAGAGCTTTCTAGCTTTAGTACTTCTACTCATTGTAGTGGAGAATTGCAAGTGCACTTCTCCAAGGTATTTGTATTAGACAAGTGAATTCTGGTTGAAAAAGATATCTTGATGTCAAGCAACAAAAGATATTTTTGTTTCTCCAAAAATAAGACCTACCCCTAAAATAAGACCTACCTCGATTTTAGGTGTGTGCCTAATATAAGCCCTATACCAAAATTAAGCCCTAATGAAGGGGGTAGGGGTGGCTAGCACAGGAGGTGGTAAGCACACATGGACTGATGATATCTGGCAGCAGCTGCATTCCACTGGTCCCTTGGTCAGCGCACTCTGGTCAGCGCAGCACAGCAATCCAGATGCACTGTGCAGGCCATGGCAAAGCTGAAAGTCAGGCTGCAGTAGGCCGCTGACTGTGGAAGCCTTACCTTTGTGCAGCAGCAGCAACAGAAGACAGACAGAGGCGCGGGATGGAAGGCAGGAGATCCTGATGCACTGCACAGATGCAAGCAAGCTGAGAGACACAAAGATGAGCCTCCCATGGCCACCCGCCTGCTCCAACCCATCGACTCTTGGCTTTCCTGTGGCCCACAGGTGAGCAATCTGGACACATAGCATGGGCTGTGGGAAAACTAAGTCAGTGGGAAAGCTGCTTGCTCCAGCCCGACTCTCAATTTTCCATGTGGCTCATCTGAATTGCTCACATGTGCTGCACAGGCTGTGCAGCCCCCAAGTGTCCTGACCAAGGGAGCAGTGGGCTGCAGCTACTGCTGGATACCATCATTCCCCGTGCACTTGCCACCTCTTGTGCATGTGCCAGGGAGTTTACCTGAAATCATGTTTACCCAAAAATAACTCCTAGTGCTTATTTTGGGGTCCAAAAAATATAAGACTGGGTCTTATTCTCTGAAAAATATGATAAGATAAAAATTACACTGTAAATTTCATCTTTAAATCTACTGGCCAACAATGCAA